TGGGAATCTAAAGGTATTTGTTCATTTTAATTGGTTTAAAAAAATCATTGCTGGAAAAAGCATGTGTGGATTTACACTTAAGTGAATTTTTATGCCATGCGACTTTCTGTCCCTCACCTTTCGACATAGTCTTTTTAGTCTAATTTGTGATGCTTTAATGCATTCCAATCAACTTTTCAGTCTTTTATATCAAATATTGCGAGTAACGCATCAATTAACAAAAAGCATGACGAGCAAACAATAGGAAGTCTATAATGAGAACATAAATTCGCATTGACACATAGAACAGGTTTGTAACAGAGCGTCTGCTTGTTCGCTTCTTACAAGCGCAAAAGTAGTGCTTGCAATTATCTTTGGGCTTTGGTGCGAAGAAACAAAAGCGTCTCATAAAAACCAACTCTTCTTCCCTAAAGATGCTTCCGTGCTTTCCTTGTCTCTATCCTACTTTCATTTGCAGGCTCACGAAGTAAACCTCACCCACATTGAATCACGTCCATCTAAAACGCATGCAGGCTGTTATGAAATACTCGTTGAATGTGGGGAAGATTCGACTCAACACAAAATTGAAGACGTAAGTGATTAATCCGCATTTGTGTTGAAAAAAAGTGCCATTTGTTTAGCTCATCGAGATTTTCAAAAAACACGGAAGTGGGCTAATGATACAAGATTGGAACGGCGGCAATAAGCTGAATAAAGGCAAACAAAATTGACTTTCATTAGAATATATCATTCCACTCTGGTGTATTGTTATATGTTGGCTTAAATCTAGATTCTGTCCCTTGGTTCCCTCGCCGAATCGCTGATATTGATCAGTTCGCTAATCGAATTCTTAGCTATGGAGCAGAGTTGGATTCTGATCATCCAGTAAGACTTCAAAGCATTTTTAATCACAATTTTAGGCTATTTGATTGTATAGATAAGAGTTTTTATTAATAAGAATTTTGTTATTTAATCCTGGTATTTCTATAGGGTTTTAAAGACACCACCTATCGCGAACGTCGTAAATACTTTGCTGATATCGCGTTCAACTTTAGACAGTATGTCAAATGTTCTTCAAGCAATTATCCTATTCATTTCGAGAGGTATAGTGAATGTTTCAGTGGCGACAAAATTCCTCGAATCGAATACACTGCACAGGAGATTGAAACATGGCGGACTGTTTACAACGTAAGCGAAAGTAAAGGTCTTATTATTGTTAGAAGCTGTAAAAAGTCAAGAAATTTAGGAGCTTGTGGCATTATACCCTAAACATGCATGTAAG